CAAAAGCCAAGCTTTGTGATGTAGACTATGATATTTCCCAATGGGTTTACCGCCATCTGCTATGCGTCATAGCGCCTTGAACAATACCACCCTGCCTTTCATCTATCTGTTTATCTGCCCATCTGCCCGGCTTCGAAAGTGATCGTAAATTTTATCCAGTGGCACTTGTTATCGCATTACTCTACTATTATTCTCTCTCTCTCTCTCTACGCCGCATTTCGCCGTTAGTAAATAATTCCCTTTAGAGTTTTTCCCTCTTTTCTGCGATGCAGGAATCTCTTCGTCGTCGTCGTTGGCGGCGTCGTCGTCGTCGTCGTCGTCGTCGTCGTCGTCGTCGTCGTCGTCTTCGTCGTCGTTGGCGGCGGCGGCGTCGTCGTCGTCGTCGTCGTCGTCGTCGTCGTCGGCGGCGGCGGCGGCGGCAGCTGCGTCGTCGTCAGCGTCGTCGGCATCAGCTTTGATCGACCGCGGTCGTCGTCGTCGCCCGCGTGAACTGTCGGCGGCAGCGGCAGTGGAACATTAGTTGCGTTTCTTATCAGCGCGCGTATTAAAATTCAGAGTGCGATTCGTGAGCGGGATTAGATTAGCGTGGCTTCGCCGTGTCGCCTGCTGCGTAGCGTCTGTGTAGCGAGGCAGACGATGTGCGATACTAGTATATACGTCTGTGTATCTATCGCCACACACATATATATATATGTGGTACCGCCGTGGACGTTGCCTGCCTAATGATGGCCGTTTGATAAACCGCATCACATTCTTGTTGAAGTTAATGTGTTCGTACCATTCTAAAATGTATTCTGTCCACGCTGCATTATGTATGCTCCTAATGATGTAGCTAATGTACTCTGGGTCCATCGCCGGGCGGCGAAATTTCTTTTCCCACTTGAGTTCCGGACCCACCATAGATAGTGTTTTGTAATAAATCGTTCTTATATATATGGTTGGATTATAGTTAGGGTTAGGGTTAGGAGGTATTCATTTCACATTGTTGCTTCGAGGAAGTCGAGTGAATGGAGTGCGCTGATTGGCTGTGGTCCGGAACTCAAGTGGGAAAAACAATTTTACCGCCGGGCGGGTCTCCGAACATTTGTACATTGTACTAGTGTGCCAAATTCCCTATGTCTCTATCTCAACGCTAAAACGTTGGTCGACGATCCTACCTGGTACCATCGGACATTATAGTCGCGACCGGTCATTGTATCCATTACCCGCGTCATAAATTAATTTAAGTCTAAAAATGTCGCGGCGGGGATGCTGACGGTTTAAAAAGGGCGGGTTTTGGTAGAAACGGAGGAGACGACGGCAACCTCTAACCTGTACGCGTACACTGTTTTTATCCGTGTTTGTAATAAAACTGTAATTGTCACCGTTTATACAACTGTTACGTCCTACTATATATATATATATATATATATATATGT